CTGCTCGTCCACCTGTACACGAGATCGCGCATGAGTTCGTGGATGCACGATTGATTTGCTACAGCCGGCTCTGCCCGCTGCTGTGCAGGTGGCCCATGTTCTCGTACTCCATAGTAGTTCATATCATGTACTTGGATCTCAGAATATTTCTTGCATAACTTGCATATTCCACGTACGTCGGGAGCAGCAGGTGGTTCCAGGGCACGAACGTGATGGCCATGTCGCGCTCCTGCAACGCCTGGGCAGAATCTCACTGGGTTGGACGTGTCCCTAACGCTCGGCGTGCAGGCGGAGGGTGTGCTCGAGGAAGATGAGTTCGGTGAGGCAGACGATACCGAAGGTGACGTGGATAAAAATCTGCACTGACGTCGAGCTGAACACGTATGTCTGCGTGCTGTCCCCGCTTCCGTCCGAGTCACATAAACCAGAGGACGAAGATGAGCTCTATCCCGTTTCGTGCATCCGCTGTACAGTGAGGACCCAGCCAGCGATTGTGTCGCCGAACAGCGCGAGCTGGAAGAGAAAGATAGCGGGGGCGGTCACGCATAGACCGAAGTACGTGGGTATTTGTGAGCTACTCTCCGGTTACGAGGTCAATGAAAAACCTGCACTGAGACGACTGTGCGCTCATCGCCCTGTCATTAATATTCCTGAGGCCATCCCAAAACACAACAGCAGACCGCATCTCCCATTCAGCGCCCTCAAGCATTGCACATGTCAACAGCTATCGGTACAGACACGGGATCACATGCGATGGAGATCGAACGTGAATGCTACATAAGGAATCACCAATATGGACACGACGCCAAGCAGACCCATACAGTACGCGTATGATACAGAAGCCTCCCGTCGCCTGGCGAGTAGCATAGACCTAAGCAGACACAGTACGTTTTAGCCTGACAGCGCGGTCAGGTGGAGACACGTCCGTCGGGCTGGCGGGGAGTCCGAGAGCAGTCGCAATCGTAAACCAGAACAGGATACATGCACGCGCATAACCACACGACAGAAACGCAAACCTCGTCGCCTTCATGCCCCGGAATCCCTCCGGACCCCGATCCAATTCGGCCGGTACATGTACTGGTGCTGCGTTGAGCTGTGGGAAGACGTCGGTCGCTGTGCAATCGTAGCGGCAGCGGCAGCGGCGCCGTACGACTGTGTCTGCGTTGGCCGAGGTCGCTGGTAATTGGTACTGTCCGTGCCTGTCGCCGGTGCAGGAGGCGTAGGACTCGGGATTTTAGAGGACGAGCTTGCCATTGTGGGGAGTGGTTATGGCAAATTCGACGCGGTGGTTGGGGAGGAGCTCCTGGAGCAGCCGCAGTTCACGGAGGGGGCATGATGTTCGTCTGTGAGGACGGACGCTGCGGTTGCATCGCCGGTGACTTGTTGATTGAGGTCGGTGTCGAGTGCATCGAGCTACGTGTTGGGGACACGGCGCTTGCTGGAGCTCTGGGCGGGAGGAACGTGCTCTTGTTGCTGTTGTTGAGGCGGAGGTGGCGGGGGATGCAGTGCGTGGCTTCTGTATGCGCGGAATCGGGTTCTCGTCGCCGTCGCTTCGTTCCCCACGTTGAGCTCTCCTTTAGACCAAGCGAGGTTAACTTGAGCAAAATTTGGTGTCTGTGACGTACCCTTTCAATACATCTCACGAGAGGCGGTGAGCTAGGGCCACTTAACTTGTTCGGCTGTTACCCCATTGCTGGATTTCCCAGACCCATTCGATCTCCCCTTTGTTATGTCCTTCACTCCTTAAACATCTCAAGCAGGACCTTGCGCACCTCCGCAGGGTGGCTCGCGAGCGTCCAGTCTGCAGGCGTAGGAAACCAGGCATAGGTTCGGATGTGGTCGTCGCCGTCGAGCTTGGAACTGATCTCTTCTCTGGGCCTCAAAGAAAACATGCTGACGCGGCCGACAAGTTCGACCGCATCCTGCAGCTCTGGCTTCATTGTGTCCTCGGGTGCGATGGAGATCTCAGGCCCGGTGACCCCTGTGTGCGTCGGCAGGACAGGAGAGACGAGCGGACGGACGGATGAGTTGGCGCCGTCGGCCCCAACGAGGCGGCATTGCCGTTCGCGTTCTGCAAATATTATTTCCAGTCACGTTTGCATCTGTATGTTCACCGTCGGAGACCTTGATCACGATCTGCATTCACGGTCCACGACTTTCCACTAACAACCACTCATCACGTCGTTACCTGTCCACTCACACCGTTGTCCCCCCTCTCGGACTGGTCCGATTCATGTCCAAGCCACACACACCTTCTCTTGTCGCAGACCGTTGCAACGTTTGCCAGTCGTCGTAGTTGGTAGCTGTAGGTAGTGTCCTACTAAGTATCCACGACTCCTAGCAGAGCGCTGGTCTCGGGAGGCGACCGCCGAGCCGTACCTGACAACTTGGCGCCTACTAGCATTTCTCTCCTCTATCTCTTGCTTCTCTCCACGCA